CCCCAAAACCCCAAAACCCCAAAACCCCAAAACCCCAGTTATCTGAATTGATAAGGATTTGAAAAAAATAAATTAAATAGATCAAACGTCATTAAAATTCAGATGAGCTCATTTAATAATTTTATTTATGGAATAATAAAGGGCAAACTCACTGCTTTTTACTCCAATCAAAATGGGAGATCTTATTCTTCCAAATAGGATTGTTATGGCAGCATTGACTAGAATGAGAGCAGATAAAAAGACAGGAATTCCAAATGAACTTCACGCTCAATATTATTCTGCAAGAGCTGATTCAGGTTTCATATTAACTGAATGTTCAGCAATTAGACCTGATGGGAACAGCTTCGTGGGGTCTGCTGGAATCTATACTGAAGAATAAGCATTAGGGTGGAAGAAAGTAGTTGATGCAGTCCACGAAAAGGGTGGAAGAATATTCTTACAGATTTGGCATGCAGGCAGAGCCGCTCATCCTGAATAGATTGGAGGACTTTAACCGATTTCATCCTCAGCAATTGCAATAAATGGATCAGCCACTTTTGTAAAAGGAAAGGCCAATCATCAAGTGCCAAAGGCAGCGACGATTGAAGATATTCAACAGCTCTTAAGAGATTTCAGAAAGGGAGCTGAGAATGCTAAGAAAGCTGGGTTTGATGGGATTTAACTTCATGGTGCTCACGGATACCTAATCGACTAATTTTTAAGAAATAAGGCTAATCAGAGAACAGATGAATATGGAGGTTCAATAGAGAACAGGTGTAGATTCCCGCTCTAAGTTATGGATTAGCTAATCGAGGTATTTGGATCAGGTAGAGTAGGTATTAAAGTTTCTCCAATCTATGATTTTAATGATAATGCTGACTCTGATCCTTTCTCCCTTTACTCCTATTTTATTGAATAACTTAACAAAAGATAAGTAGCTTTCCTTGAGATCAACGAGGCTATATCACTCGACCCTGCATAAGAAAAAGTGAAGCATTAGGAAATATTTGGCAGTAGAAAAGAGAAATCCTTGAGAGAAATCTTCAAGCCATAATTTAGCGGACTTTTTATTACTAACTATAAGCTGACATTCGAGAAAAGCAATGAGATCCTGCAAAAAGGACATGCTGATCTGTGCTCATTCGGAACTAGCTATGTATTTAATGATTAACTTGTTGAGAAATATAAGACAGGATCTACTCTCAATGGAGCGAAATATATTGAGGATAAAAGCAAATTGTTTAGGGAGTATTTTTATGGAAGCACAGCTGTTGGTTACACTGATTTGACAGTCTATCAACCGAAATTATGATTAAAATATCACTCCTTAATATTAATTTTAAGGAAAATAACAATGATTACTAAAATCAAAGTCTATTTTAGTCAATAGGGGTTTTGGGGTTTTGGGG